ATAAAACAAATGCTATCAAATAATATTATTCTATATTTAAAATAATTACAGTATATAATAAAACAATGGCTGTCCCTTTAGTACAATAGTTTTTCAATGATAAACCTGCTTTTCCGAGTGATAAATATAGCATCTTTTCAACACCAAACTTAAAAAAAGGACAACAAAAAGTCACTGTAGTGTACAACAGACAAAAACAAATACGCAAAAACTGTTGTCATATGTGCATAAGAAGGCCTTAATCATCTGAACAGACCGAATACATATACTTTGTGTGTCTTTGGGGTAAAGATCATAATTACAAGCATTTATGAATTCAAATTTAACTGATATGTTGGCATTAATCAGGGACCATGAATACTAATTGCATTAATAGCATTTAACTGATTGTTTCTTGAAATATAGCGTGAAAGTGGGAGACTGGAAACATGTCTGCTAGTCAAAAATTCAGATCCCTTTCACAAAGCAGTTGGGATAACCTGCAGTCATGTGTGCATATATGTCACTATTAAGGCAACATGAAAACAATTTAAATCAGAATAAAAATCTTGTGTAAACATTAATACAGTCTGTTTCAGAAAAGCTTAAGGCACATTTCAGTTCGGTAGGCAAAGCTCTGCAAAGAAGCACCGTTTCTTCCGCAGCTGAAAGAAAAGGCTGGAGTAGGAATTACCCTGAGAAAATCTGCAAAAATACAATATCCTGCCAACTTAGATTTAATAATCTGATTTACCACAAAATTCTTTTTTGGAGTTCATTAAAGGACACAGGGTGAAGTCACTGGGTTATGCTGCTGCCTTCAGAAGATTGGACAGTGGTAAACAAAGCTGTAAGACAGTCTAATAAAACCACCTTCCACTCCCAGCATGCTTCAGTTTTCTGGAAAGATAATAGTTGAACAGACCTTACAAAGCCGCTTTAAGAAGCTTACGACCAAAGCTGGCATCAGAGGAGACCTGAACAGCCACCTAGTAAAATCTAACAAACATGTGAACAGAAGAGCAGGTGCAAGGCTTGCAAATCTAAGTAACAGATGCCCAAGGCTGAAACGCCTGTGAAGCACTACCTGATCTAGTGGAAAACGCCTAGACAGAGAAAGGTGGAACCTTGTTGGCTTGAATAATGAACTGTCGAATCGACCTACAGACAGTGGAATGAGAAGGAGGCTGTCTCCTATTGGGACCCCTAACAATGATTAAAAAAAAAAAGGGAGTCAATCTGTATAATGGAAGATGTAGCTGACTCAAAAGGCACATACCACATCCAGACAGCGGAGGGCAATTTCCCCAAGTTTTGGAACAGGCCAAAGGAAGAAAACCTTTGACAATGATGCAGTATCCACGATTAAGACTATTCCAAAGCAATCAGTTGGTCCAGTGCTGACTTCTGGAGGTTCAGGATCCACTTGAACCTTTGCAGTCTGCTGGACACTGATTGATAGCATCTGTTCCCTCAGAAGAAGGTTGTCTAAGTATCCCAATATGGGGATGTGCTGGGGATAGCACCTTAGTAAAGAGCTGAGATGCCATTTACAGACCAAATGGAAGGGCAACAAACTCTTTTCCAGATAAAAAAATAATACAAACATGTTTGGCAATATTGTTTTGCAAAAAGTATTTTATTTTCTATGGAAACTATAAACAAAAAATATGTAAACATTTTTTTTGAAAGTAGTCTATTTACTGTAAATGAAAAAGGCTTTTTTTCAATATTGTTAATTTTCTTGTTTTGCAACATTGACAAATGTAACAAACAAAACAAGTGAAACAAATAAAGACCCAAAATCTTAAAAATATAGAAATCATAAAAAAAGCTGAAAAATAATAGTTAAGGATGGAAAGGAGTTAATCAGGTTAACTAAAAGTAGACAAGGGGTTAAATAACAATACATTAATTTTAAAGAAAAAAGTGACCTTTTTTAAAGTTTCTTTAAACCATTTTTTGGCATTGGTTCTCTTTTGGGTCACAGGCCTAAAACTCAGAATATAGCAGATTATTGCACGCTATATGCTGACAGTGCAGAACTGCACTGCAGCCGGGAAAGATCCCAACCATATTGTCGGGATCTATCCCACTAACTGATTGACAGCTGGCTCTGCCTCTCTAGAGCCAGCTGTGCCTGTCCCCTCCCCATGTCTGTCCCTCCAGTCATCGCTGGGACAGGGGAGGGGGAATCCTTGAGTGGAGCAGTGACTGCCAGTTAATGCTCTCTGCAGAGAGAAGATTGTTAACTGCGTGATCAGCGGTTTGTGATCGCTCAGTTCTCGATCTATAGAGTCACAGTGTCACATGTCGGCTCTAGCTATGGGGAGGAGTGCATTTCACTCTCCCCATAGTTCTCCTTTAATTGATGTAATTATATCTACTATTTCATTCATATGTAGATCACCAACCTTAGTAATAGATAACGAAGGTTGCTCCAAGTCCAATCATGTGTGGATCATGTCAATAGCAACCAAATTGGTATCCTTAAGTTTAGCAGAACAAAAGGGTACATGTAGAAGCAGAGATGGACTCTGGAGGAGAGGGAATGATAGTACGCGTACGACCCTTGTCTTCTGAGTCAGCTGCAGTGTTACGTTCCAGAGTTCAGGTACTGAGAGTTCCTCCCAAGATAGGGGATGGAACCACACCTAAAGGTGTTAAAAAGGACTCTGAGGAGTGTTGTGACTCAGGTAGGGTACAGTGGTCCAGGCTATCGGTGTCAGGTCCCTTAGGAGGTACACTGCAAGCCACTCTGTTACCCTTGTAATTATGAACCACCATCTTATAGTATGCAAAGTAAAAAATGTTCCACGTACTCACAAAAAACACTGCTAGAGCAGTAAGGGTTAAATGCCACCTGTGCTCTTGTCACTGCAAGGCAGCAAGGAGCCAGTGGCTGAAAGTACTTGAAGATTGTGGCGGTGGTGCAGTAAAAGAAATGGTGGGAAGGCTAAGTGGGTGCACACACGTATTGTAAGTGGCACACACACGCGTAGTTGCAGTGAACAGAGAGAGGCCTGCACAAGCGTGGTTGCAGTAGGTAGAGAGAGGCCCATGTAGGCTCAGTAGAGCCAATGCAGAGGCCCATGCATCAGTAGGGTAATGGGTTGCCGAATTAAAAAAATGGAGCAGGGGACTTTCCCACTACCAAAGTGTCATGGTCGAAGCTCCAGTAATAAACCCTGTGGGATTAACTGAAACACAATGCAATCACACACCAGGCTCCCACAACAAAGGGCAAAGTGCTGATTAATTGCATTGGTGATACAAAAGATTGCCTCGGCCCCCACAAGCAGACAAGCTGGAAATTGCCAGGCAGGATTCAGGGGAACACGTTGCTTCAAAACAGCCATTACCCTCATGGTGGGCATACTCCCTAAGGAGTCTTCAGGAACAGGGTTCCACCAGATGGGTGCAGCATGGCCCTTGCCCTGTAAAAAGTTCTGTAGCTAAATTATATACGCTACACACAAGTGTCTTGGAAAGTGCCTCAGCAGAGCCCAGTGCCATCAAGACACATTACAAACCAGACCCTCTTCTCCCTCACAGCAGGGTCTGAGTACAGCCTCCATGGCTATGTTAGGGTCAGCCAATCTGGTAAGTTGAAAAATGAGTCTTTCTGGCCCGACAGCAACTGTAGAGATTTGACAGAATAAAAAGTCTTGAAAAAAGAGAAGAAAGTCAATTAAATATGTTTGCTTCTCTTAGAGTAGAAAAGATATCTGTTCTCCTAGGACATTAGCAAATGCTGCAGCATGCCTGCAGTGGGAGGGGTTATACTAGGTTGTCTTAAAGCTTTGCCAGTTTCCAGTCTCCTGTAGACAGCAGCCTAACCCAGAGTCTCAGAATTTTGTTTACCCAGTGTCCATTAAAGAATAATTAAGAAATTGTGCTTTGTAAGGGAGATAATCTACAATGAGCCTTTTACTAGTATACCTGGCCAATTAATAAGTCATTATTAAAGAATTAAAATGTAAGGTGTAATGTAAGGTCATGTAAAAGAAACTGGTGATTAACATGAATGAAGGCTCAAATTCAAATAATTTAGGAATTTAAAAAAAAAGAAATCAGAACTGAAGGAAAGTTACTAAATACACGGTTGAAATACATAAATGGGAATATTTTTTTTCTGACAAAGGATTTGTAATTCTGTCTTGGAATTCACCCATGCCGCAACACAGCCAATCAAATGACAATGCAATTTCCTATTGCAGATTCTTGTGCCACCTGCATGCTTTAATGTACTTTGCCCATTCAGGGATGGCAAGCAACACATACTTTCTGCTCACCCAACTGCTGTCCCATGTGACTAGGCAAAACAAAACCCTGTGCCCCTAGGTATGGAGGCACATGTCATGGTATGCTATGCCTCCCCACAATGCAGTGCTCGGTGAGCAGCCTACTGCAAATTTCATTGGACAATACATCAAAAAAGTGATAATACTAATTCACTGTACAAGGAGCAAGCAGGTGACACAGTGGTTTGGCAGAGCTGTGTGACTTACAAGAGTGTCTAAACAGAATTTTAAATCCTTTGTTACATGTACATATTTAAATGTGTATCTTACTGTTTGGATGGAGTTCTGCTTCAAGAACTGACCACTTTTGATTGAAATTATATAAAGGTGTTTTGAATGTTAAATGTTAGGGGGTAGTTAAGCAAAATGATTTAGTTCTCACTGGTTAATTGATACTGGCCTACAGACAGTACAAAGGTTTGAAAAAACAAATTCAGCTACACCACTAACAACTATAGGTGGATGGAAACTCTTAAGTGCAGCAGTTTGACCGTACAGCACTGCTGTACCAAATTTTAAGTGACGCAGTTTAATCATAATCCAACATGTCCATACTACAATTAAGTATCTGGAAAAGTACAGCAGTGATTATATCAAACTGCTATCAATAACCACGGACATGTATGTAGCGAGACCACTGGCATTTAAAGACATCTAAAAACCAATGGAAAGCCCTGTCAGTACGCATTGGGTGCCAAAGGCTACCATGATTGCTACGTGAAGGCACTTTTTTAAGAAAACAAAACAAATTTTGTCAAAGAGCAGTTTCAAAAATAATAAATGGTTCAGATGGATCCCTGGAAGTAATTTTCTTGTTGGCTTCCTGGATTCGGTTCAAAGACACCTGAAAAAAAAAAATCAGAAAGTACAAATAAAGTTGACTGATAAATGGAAAAATAAAAATAAAACAATTATATAGGGTTATGGTGAGATAAAAAGAGCCAAGAAGCCTTCCACTGGAAGTACAGCAGAGCATTATATGGCAAGTTTTAAAATGGTCATGCTGCACCGCTTTTCTAGAAGGGAAGTTTTTAAACCAGCCTGCCACAAAAGTTAATCTTTCTTTTGCTTTCACCTGCTCCATTCAGCCAGCTAAAGCAAAGACATGAAGCAACTTGGAACAAAAGGCTTGGCACTCTCTTCCAACCCCCATGCAATGCCAAACCACCCAATCATGTGGGAGGAAAAACCTGAAAGTTCTCTTTGTTCCTGCCTCCAAACACAGAAATACAGGAGTGAAGATAACGTATGTCCATCTGGGCATAGCAGCAGGTAAGCGGACCTGCTTGCTGTGTTCTGCATTGCATAGCACAGGTTTATCTTAATGTTTTTTTATCTATATCACTGTTGTTTTTACCTTTATGTAGGCCAAGGTTTTCATTTCTTAGCTCGTAAGCGTTGATGGAGGAATATGCTTTATTTATTTTTTATTCCATTTAATAAGAAACGTGTATACCCAACTTTAGTTAAAATGGAACAATTAGCATTTTAAATTGACTTACTGTCGGTCGGTATGACTGTAAGTGAACCTTAGGAAGAATAATTCTTCCCTTGAAATGTTCTTCATTACAGTGCACCCGTAAATTGTGTTTACCCCACATAAGCACAGGTCATGACCTGACTGACTCCTTAGCTTAATATCTCTGCCCGCAATCATTTTTTTAAAGGTCTTTCCACAATCTTGGTCTAAACCATTTGCTTATTGGTTTGTTGGGAAGCAATGGTATGTGAATATCTTCTGGTTTAAAAAAGGTGATGTCTACACAAAAAAGCAAGCTATTGACATAAAACAAACAGTTTAATCTGTAAAAAAATCAGGAAATACCCTAGTACATCATCCCAACAATGAGCTGAATTAATTGCCAATAAACCAAAATGATACACTGGCTGTTATCCCAATGTGTATTGATGTAAAGCGCAGACACATTACATTGATAAGACCAAGTCACTTTATGAACTGAAAACACGAAGATAAATTAAACAGCGTGACAAAAGCACGAGGAAACTAGAGTCAGCAAAAAGGTTTCTCATTTTCACACATAAAACCAAAAACACAATAGATTCGGATGTTAATATCAGCTTGTAATCCTGATATTTTACAAACTATGATTGACAAGCATTGAAACTTCAAGGTACATATATTTGAAAGATCAGTGTTTAATTTGTAGCAGAGAGCAGTTACAAGGCCCATAGAAATGTGATCTGTGGATAGTATAGCACAATAATAAAATGGAAGGCTAAAGCTCTGACAAAGCCTCATCCAAGCAACTTCTTTAAAGCGTAAGATGATCCCAAGTAATAGAAGATGTATTTTTTCTTCACACCATGCCTTTCAGCAGCTGAATCCTAGCGATTTCTAGCTGAACTAGACGAGATACAGGTTCCCTGATAAATGTATAATCAGAATATAAAAGGATTGAAATGCTGTCAAGTTTCACTGTTACACAATCGGCAGTTTTTAGGAGCTGTATGGTATCTCTATGCTTTGACAGATGCGCATAACAAAATGAAATAATGTCAAGACTTGTGTGCTCTTATCTGCCACTGTGTATGCTGGAAAAAAGGGACTTCAAATGCAATTTTTTTCTTCTGCACAGCTGAATGTGAAAAGTTTTGTTTGAACCTTCAAAAGGCAAATGCAATCTTCAAACGTTGACATCTGTCACGAGCTGGGCCAAAAATAATGTACAGCGTCTTGGAATTATGTTTACAAAATACATATAGAAGAACTGCCATAAACGGATGTTTGACAATAATACGCTTTTCCTGTATGGTTTAATATGATTTCTCTATGTATACAATTTAGACTACTGAATAGAGACAGAAGTGGCCGTACTGTGCAGCTACTAAACTATGCTGCAGTGACTTGCCTAAAGCTTGTATAATGCATTAAACATGGCCAAAATTGAGATGCACTGGCATATTGCTATGAGACCCTGCTAAGCTGCTCCAGGGCTGAAAATTCATTTTAATATTAACTTGCTTGAACTGAAAACGATATATACATGTACCTATTCACCATATGTTTGACATTATTGTAAACCTAACAATAATACAGTACGTGAAGTCATTCGAAGGACAGGAAACTTGGACCAGTTTTTCCCATGTGAAAAAGGTAAACTCTACTATGTTTACTATACAACCATGCTATTCATAGTGGAAGTACATAAATACCAGGGGATCACACTGTATTGTTAGGACATGTCAAAAAATCTTTCTCTTGCTTCCAAGAGAAGCAGGTTTATATGCACTATCCATATTTTAGGATTTTAGGGAATGTTTACATGGGTGCTTTCTTTAGGCCTTTGTTATGTTGCATCAGATTCTGTTCAACCCAGAACACTGCCACTAAAACACCTCAGGAACAGAATGCAAACAAACATGTCACACTATGAGCTCTATTAATAAGCCTGTGGGTGAAACATGTGAGAGGTTGTAGGCGGTTGGGGGTGTGCAGTGCTGGCATTTGTTGTTTTATACACTTTTATTTACTGATATACTGGATTTGCTGTGAATTTGAATAAAGTCTGCAGTATTGGAATTCTCTGGATAGTGCGGTCTGTTTTTATACTGCTGCATTCCACGGTGGAGACGCACCTATTAGACCAGCACCTGGGGAGTCCTGATGGTGGCTAAGGAATTGGAACGGTGAGATTTCCTTTGGCTAAACATGTCGCACTGTTTTATGCTTAGCAATGACTCTCACTGCCATGGTACATTTGAAAGGTCGCTATCCGTAAGATTCAATTCTGGCCATCTCCCTTCCCTGCAGCCTGTTGTGAAAAGGGGGACTGGCAGTAATGTTCAATGACTAATATTTTCAGTCACTTCAGTAATTATATACATTTCAAGCTTTTCATTTTTGGACTGGCCAACTGAGTACAACTATTAACTTTAAAAAAAACTTAAGACCAATGAAAGGAAAAACATTCAGAACGTATCTACACCCTCAGAAGAAAGTTTCTGTATACGCATTGGGCAAATTATCAACACTTGGAGAAAAACACAAGCTACATTTTAGGGTTTTTTAGACAACCCTGCACTGTGTTCATTTTCTAGAAGGGGAAGCAGCACATACTTTCCATCCATCTGCTGATCCATGTGACTGGTGGTATGGAGGTGCTGTCACTCTCTGTCCTGCCTCCATACAACGCAGCACTTGAAACCAAAGCAGCCAGTTGCCAGTACTATCATATGAGTAGGGGGAGTGTCCTTAGCACTGTGCAGCTTTCAAACCTATGATGTCCACATTGCTTTTGCAGAAAGCTGCAGTGGCTAAACTGGGCATCAGAGAGACGGCATGGAGGGTAAATACGTGCCCATTACCGTTCCTAATATAAAGCAAACCTGTTACTTTTCAATAAAAGGGAAAAGTGCAGATTTGCTTTACGCTGCAGATGTCTTTCAAATTACTGCCCGTTTTTGGATGCCTGTCAGCTGCAAAAAGATGGTTAGAGAAAATCCTGAATATATAGAGAAAAAAAAACTCACCTGTTTGGCTATTTCTGTAAGAGCAGAGGCTTCTGTCCTTCCAACTTGTTGCACCATTTTGTAGAAGAGGCTTTCTTTATTTTGTAGCAAGTTGTAAGGTTCATCAAATTCTTTAACTCTTCCTGAATCAAGCACCTATATAAACAAAATCTAAAGTTAAAATCACAGCAAACACTTACCATATCAATCCAGATTACACAAGAACAATATGGAATTACACATAAGGGTTATAAATTCTATTTTCATGCTATATTTGTATATTTTGTCCTGAAAGGAAAGGGATAAGATGCATACTGGGTATGAACATTTTTGCTATAAAAAGAAAAGCACCATGTGCAAAGTCAACATTATGTAGCCAGCCATTCCTCTGTAACAAGATCGCATTCTCGGGTCCTCCCTGGACTGCAGCGGCGTCATAGACAGCTGCGCCGTCACACGGTGCGCTCCACGGTGGTACACGGCGGCCGTGTGACGCGCAGGAGAGCCCCGCCTCCATAAACTCCGGCTCCATAAATAGTGACCGGCCGCTACACAAGGTGTTCCACTATTGCCGTGAACGCCTGTGTTCGGTTCGCTCACTCGGGACAGCAGTAGGCTCATCAGGCTCACAGGGAATCTACCTCCAGTCTGTTCTTCCAGGAAATCTACCTGAGTGCTGTGCAAGTCTATTGGAGACCGCAAGTATCCTTGTGTCAGGCAGTTCAATGCTGTATCTCTCTCTATTGGACGTACCTGGTGCTATACGTATTACTGGAGTTATTTCCATATCACTTGCTGTATGTTATGTTATTGGCAGTGCACAGTGCTATGCAGGTCACCGCACTTATTGCTATTCAATCCTGCTGTGCTATTGGTGGTACAGGGTGCTAGATGTATGCAGGAGCTGTTGCTAATCACTTGCTGTATGCTGGGCAATTGGGAGTGCATGGTGCTATAAGCAGTACTGGAGCTTCACTGTTGTTCACACCATTGAATGTGGCCATAGAGTTGCATTGGAGGATTGAGTTCCTGCTCTTACGTACCACCAGTTTCTATACGAACCCATCATGTTGCGCACTCACTACTAGGGTGGATTACGATGAAATAACCATTTCAAGTAGCATCCTATAAATACTTCGGCAGATGATTTCGTGGATCCAAACTCTCCCTTGAGACTGAGAGTGAAACCTGGAACCCAAACTGATATGCCGCAACAGGACTAGATAGGTTAGGTACTAGAACTGCATATGTGTCAATCTCCACAGTTGTGATCCTCAAATAATCCGTCAGGTGCTTTACATCCTCAAACCACGGAGCGCTCTTTGCAGTGTTAAAGCTGAAGCCAAAGCATCTATAAAAACCACAAATGAATGCAGCTCAATATTTAATAACCACCTCTCTACTGCTGTATTGCAAAAAAAGGCAGGGAGGGGGACATGCATTTCTGGAGTGGCTTTTAAAAAATGGTGCTACAAAGCACACGCTCAGACAGCCAGTGTTCCCATTGGTCTTCCTTTCTTTGCATGCTCTTGGAATGCAGAAGGTATTGGTTGGGTAGTGTGAGTTAGAACGATTTATTAAATATATTTCTAATATTGGTTATAAATATTTTCTTTTACAAATGTTTTAGTGTTTTTGGTGCAACCATGTTTATACATTAAGATCAGAGAAGAAGCTTCTGAACAGCTTGGTAAAAATCATTTTTCAGTTGAGGAATATGATTAGAACACTCTAGCTGTACAACATATTAAACTATAATAACTATAAATACTACAATAACATTTGAGTGCTTTGTAGTGGGGTACACAAGATCAAAGTGATTTAGTGAGCCTGAAATTGCACCAAATGTGCTTGTCAAGATGTATAGTGATCATGCTTTTGTTTCACCTATGGATAGAGGGCGGGGGAGGTATAGAAGTATAAAGGCTGGATGAGATATGTACGTGAAAAATAATTCTGGAAGGGTTGTAGGATGAACAGATGGGAGGTGGGAGATGCTGAAGGAGGAGTGTGGTGTTGGGCCCCACTGATCTAGACACATAGGTGCTGATTCACTAAAGGCAAATAGGCTATTTTACTCTGCAAGGGATTTTTTTTTGCAAGGGGATTTTCCCTTCGCTTAGTAAATGAGATGAAGCTCTGCTGACTTCCAACATCCAATCATGTGCAAGCAAAATACTATTTCTTTTATCTTTCTTGCACATGATTGGGTGTTTTTTGCAAAGCAAATTTTCACCAAATTCACTAAGCTAAGGGAAAATCCCATTGCAAAGTGAACAGCTTATTTGCCTTTTGTAAATCAACCCACAAGTACCTATATTATTAGTAGGCAAGGTGTAGGTAAATATAAAGCAAATACAAATCTGTTAATGTATGGAACTACTTTTTATCCATAGACTATTTGTTTTCTCCCTACTGTGATAATATTAGTGATATGTAGCAATCCTGCCACAGCAGAGCAGCTTGTAAGAAAGAGCTAGTGCACTGTGTGGCACTGGCCTCACTTTGGATATGGGATTACTACTGACAACAGAGACAGGTTTGTTAATGTGGAATGAATGATGAGAGTAACCCTAGACAGATTGGTAAAGGAAAGCAAAAATAAAGCTGAAAGGGAATTTCTAGTGCTTTTGCACATATCTAAAATGCATTATATCTTATTTGTGTGGTCAGGTAAGTTACCTACATACTTAAGTACATAGTATTTGAGGTTGAATAAAGACATTAGTCCATCAAGTCCAACCTATTAGGATCTCATTCTAGGAGTACCCGTACCACTGTATATTACGGTCCCTTAAGAAATCGTCCAAAAGTTTCTTGAACAATTCCACATTCTTTGCTGAAATCACTGTCTGTGGCAGTGAGTTCCAGACCCTAACTGATCTTACTGTGAAGAACCCCCTTCGCCCCTTGTGCTGGAATTTTTTTTCCACCAATTTTAGGTGGTGGCCAAGTAAATGAGTAGAAACCTATCTCTTATCAGATGGCTCATCTAAAGTTTCAACGAGAGCCAGCCACGACAAATTCATTGATTTTTTAACTGAATAACAGATTTCAACTTTTTGTAACACAAAAGTTTTTGTATTAGCACATTATTATTTAAACATAAAGTATATATATAAAATCAAAAACTTTTTTCACTTCCTACAGACTTTGTAAAACCCCTGCCATGGTTTTCTGCCGTGTCCTGGGACCAAATTAATGTGATACATGTATTTATAACAATACAGGGCTCAAGAGGAGAATGGGGGCAGGGGCAAAGTCGAAGGTTTATAAACGTAACCGGTTTTCTCCCTTTCTTTTTCTTTTGGTGATAGCTCTGACAGCTTATGTAAGGGTTGGGGGATGCGGGGAATTAATAATGCTGATTTGAAAAATACTGAACTTGCTGTTTTTGATATATATGTTAAAAGCCTGAATTTAAAATATGTTATGGAATTCTATCTTATGGAAACCAATAAAAACTTTGAAAACAAAATATATAACAGTTCTTTTTTCTTTTAACATATAGATCAGTTAATGTTAAGATTGTCACAATTCCAGGGATGTGAGCCTACAAGCGAGCAGCTGACGTGGAATCCCCTAGGGTGTGGGGATCCGTGAGGGGGTCCCTGTATTTTGCCAGGGACCCCCTCACGGAAGTTAAGGCATAGTTGCTTGCTAATCCCAGGTTGCAACCACTGATTTCACCCTGCTCACGTGTGGAGAGTACCTGTATACACAGGTTGGAAGAGAAGGTGGCTGTGTTCCAGTCATCGCTGGCAAAGGTGAGATGGCAGCAGAAAAACATATTTGATAGAACTAAGGCGAGTCGGAATACGAAGGGTCAATCCACAGAAGAGCAGGTCAGGAGCTAAGGCAAAGATTGAGAGAGCTCGGAGGCAGCAGAAGTGTTGCTTAAGCAAAGCAAGATGGTCTGAGCAGGATTTAAATAAGGAGAAAGATAGGAGGCTGGACAGGAAGAAGCAAGGTATAAGAAAGGACCGGGTGGGGTGGGCGACAGCCATATCTGCTAGCTCTGTGCAGCAGGAGCAGAGCACATGCTTGTAGAACCACAGGTGCCAGCAGACCCACAGCAGCAAAGAGGTAAAACAAATGCAAGCCTGTTTAAAGTAATATTAAAGTGAAGATGGTTTTAAGCAATTTCAAATACTGATGAAATAACTCATAATGGATGCTGCTGCACGCCTGATGTTTAAAAGTTCTAGTTTCCTGGTGAATCAGATGGTCCCCTGAGCATGTGTCCTGCCCTCCTGTTCTAGAGTGACTTCTTTCTCAAGCAGAGTGCTATGTAGTCACCCTTTTATGTGCTAGTAAGCTGTGTGTGTGTCTCTCCAAACACAAAGACACAGAAAACCAAGCTATTCTTCTCCCCCCTGGCACCCTCTTCTACCTCCACCAAGCTAGTAGATGAACTGTTGGTTGCGTCTGCTCTGTCCCTTAGTAGCAGCTGTTCAGAAACATGATGATTGTAAGTATTTGGACAAAAAGGTAAAGAAATGCTTTGCTGGGCAATGTATATTTGTTTAATCAGGATTCATTATTGAAAAAAGTTTGAGAGTTTAATACTACTTTAAGCACAGCTAACAGATCAGCTCTGCAGCTGATCTATGACACAGGTGAACTTTAATCTCTATTTGTTCTTCCTAAAGGACAAAAAGATAAACAGTGAGTGCCATGCAACAAAAAGCTTTTTATAAAATGTTATTTGTGTGGCCAGGTAACTAAAACATCAGTTGGTTTATTAAAAAAGAATGTAACTGCAATATTTCCAGTTGTTTACAGCTGCTGAAGGGCAAGGAGGGAGCAAGATTCCATAACTGTGATTCATGCCTCTAGCAATTTAATTTGCATTTTTACGCACAAATAAAATTTAAAGAAAAAAAGCGTGTTTTGTATGCCAGTGAGCTTAACAGATTATCCTGACCTAGGTTAAAGGTGAAACTCACAGAAATCTGTAATTTTGTATTGTAAATCATAGTCAACACAATTTCCTTTAAATCATTTAAATGTAATTTGATCTTTTTATCTGCCCACACAATAATTAAGACATCCTATAATTCAATGTTGTTGTTTCTTTTTCAGTAGATGACAGCAGTGTGCCAGAACACACAGAGCAAATGACACTGGTCCTTCTATTCAAGTTACATCACACT